GAGGGGGGACCAAAGGGAATATTTCTAAAGCAGGAGAGGGGAAGGGGCACTAGTGTTGTATAAACATAAAACACAGATGGAGAAGGTATCAAGAGTTTGACACATTCGTAATTTTAAAAAACTCCTGCTGCCCCTGATACCTGTAAGGATGTTGTTTCTTGCTTATAAGAAGTCATCCTTCCAGGGTCCACCAGCCTGTCCAATGGGAGAAAGGTCTCTCTGGCTAACCCTGGGCTTCTGCTTGCTCTTAGTTCCAGCCTATTAGTTCCTTATTCCAGACTCCAACCTGGGTCCCTGCTTCCTGATCCTTTCAAACCTGACCTTGTGGCTCCAATATGCACCTGTACTTCTGGTTCCTGGTCTCATCTGCTCCTGATCCCCTGGCCTGTGACTTTCTAGGGTCAAGTCCAGTCCTGACTATCTGCATACTGGTTCCTCCTGACACCTGGGACTCTAGATAAAATTAAGAGAGATGGCAACATCTGTCTTATGATAGTTAATACTCTTTGTACAGCCCCAGCTCCTAGAGGCATGTGATTAGTTAACTCCTCAGTTATCAATTAAATGGGAAGTTTCTAGCCCTCATCATTGCTTAGAAAAGTGGGAAATGGGATCTAAAGACAACCTCAAGATTCAGAAGCCAGAAGGCCAAACCCCCAAGGTGTACCATCGTGTTGTGACTGGAGGGTCTTGACTCATGAGCTCTGAATGCTCAGGCCTGGTGGCACTGCAAGGTATTAGGGTTGAATCCCTGCCTCTGCCACCAAGTCGCTGTATGACCACTGGCAAGTCACATCACCTTCACCTATACATACAAAGCTTGGTCAGGCTGCAGGTCCCTGTGACAAGAAAAGGGCATTGGGCAGAGGATTCACTCCCAAGGGCTGGGGCAGGGCTCAGTTCAGTTCCATGCTTGTTCTAAGCAACTATCCCCAACTAGCCCTTCCAGATGAGCCCCAGTGCCAGGTGATGAACCCCTCAGGCACCACCAACCCAGGACAATGAACCCCAAGGACTTCATTCACTTCTCTCTCTAAGCTCCCTCCTCAATGCACAGCTGCCTAATCCAAGGAAGAGGGCCCTGTGGGAAGACAAGGGATTGCACTGGCCTTTCAGCTGCTCCCAGACCTGGGGGTAGGTCCTCTGTGACTGCTGCGAGCTGGCTGGCCCTGGATATCCTCAGTGCTACAGTTCTTTCCCTGATGGGATTTTGCTGGGAGACTCCTCAACCCAGGAGCACATCTGGGCAGCTACTACCGCAGAAAAGCTTCTCCCATCTGCAAATTATAGAGCTGACAATCTTGTGCTGCCTGCTCCTTACACTTCTTGCTGCTGCCTTTTATTCGGGGCGGAAACAGGGAACAAACTTCTCTTTAACAGATCATAGGCTTATGGAAACTACATATCCCAGGGGGCAATGCTCCAGTGTGTTCTACCTGGATGCGCGCTGAGACTTGAAGGCTCTGGAGGCTGTTTCACTCACACAGGTGAGAACACCTGCAATTTAGGGATTAAGGAAATAGCTTGGAGGACAGACAACCTGGTAACTCCTGCTTCCCTGTTCAGGAAGCTAATCACTGGGCTGCACTGCCCGGCCATTTGTCCCTACCCCCATATTTAATACAGAGGTGTCACCTGCAGGGAGGGACATCAGGTTCCAGCACATACTCTGCTATTTCCAGGCCTGCTGTGTCCCTCTCTCCCTTGTATAGATTGTAAGCTCTCTGAGGCAGGGACTGCCTCCTCCTGGGTTTGTGCAGCACCCAGCACAATGGAGCCGGATTGCATTTGGGGACTTTAAACGCTCCTGTAATATAAATACAAGCACCTCCATTTCAGATGCATTAGGAGTGGCCTTCAGACCCTGGGCAAACTACCAGTGCCATGTTGCCATCTTATTGTTAGTTTCACTGCATTTGGGTTTTTTGGTTAAAGCTCCAGCTCCTGGAGTCATGGGATGGTAGGGGCACGTCAGCTTTAATTTTAAATAAAGCTGTTTATAGTCCATATGGTTGTGGGGGGGAAGCCAGGAAACATGAAGTCAATGCAGCTGAAAGCCAAATGAAAGGGAACACAAAAGATTTCTAAATCCTTGTGTTCTTTAAACCAAACTCATTTTTTTTTTGGCAGAGGGGAGGGGTGGGGGGGAAACTACTCTTAAATTCCCAGTGCTCAAAGCTGGTAATACTGGTAATACTACAAGTGCTGCTATTGAATGAGCAAAGTTGAAACACCTTGGCTTGAAATCTGCCACCCACAGTGTGTACAGTAGAGAGCAGGAATATATACACAGTTATCAGGCCAATCCAAATCCCAGCAAGTGCCTGTTTATTCCTGGAGCCATGTGTCAAGGCCCAGGGTCTATCATACCTGCCAGAGTCTCCTCTGTAACAAATGTTTGGATACCAGTCTCTGGCTTTCTCATGCAGAGGTACCTGATATACAAGCACGTCTGTAGCAAGGTCACTCCCGGCCCAGCCTTCCCTAGCACAAGACATCCTAGGAAATAACAGCACAGCAATGGCTGGTTGGGAAGGGTCCGAGCAATATTGGATCTTTTTGAAGGGAGATTCCTCCTACCTCAGGGCTCCTACTCACTTCAAGGGCAGGCAGATATCATTTTCATGCCAGGGTGCTGCTTGTCCATTGTGGCATGGCTGTCACCTCCATCTTATATAGGATGGTCCTGGCTTGGGAGAAAGGAGGTGGTTGGGAAGAAGAGGAAAACAGGCTGTTTGTTTCCCTACCACAGACCTTTGGTGGTGCAGCGGTCTGCAGGTGACTGCATGTTCATAATGTTCCAGATAGAGAAGCCCAGCAGGCCATACTATCCACTACAGGACACAGGGGCCGACAAGGCCAGGACACCAGACTTCGCTCCAGACGTTCACCCTGTAGCTGCCTGGGCAGTAGTTTTCCCCATAGGACTCTCTGGGCCAACGCACTACATGTACATTCCTCTGATAAAGCCACTGCCCAGGGAAAAAGGTGGAAGAGCTACCAAATATTTGGGCCCTGGATCCTGAGGGTCTCAGCCATGTGAGGGGGAGGGTTATATGTCACCACAGGCCTTTCCAAGGATGTCTGAGGCCATCCTGCCCAGGAACAGATGTGACCCAGAGAGAAACACTGCCCAGCACCCAGCTCCCAGCACTGAGTCATCCTGGCAGCAGCCTCTCACGCCTTCCTTGTCAGCCTGTGCATGTTTTTCAGAGAAGCCATTGTGAAAATGCTCAGGCTCCAGCAAAAAAGGGACACCTGGAAAAGCAGGAGCTGGATCAGCTGCTCTGGCAGGATCCCACTGACCTCCCCCTCCAGGCTCGGGGGATAAATCCCCTTAGAGGAGTTGGAGGAGACACAGGCAACAAAAAGGCCTGGGCAGACTTAGTGTGTGGCACAATGATCAGCCTGCCCGAGTGAACTCTGCTGGCAGAGGGACCCAGACAGGGCAGGCTCCCTCCACAGCCAACGTGAACACAAATCCCGTCACAGCCTGACATGGAGCTGCCCTGCGGTGGGGCAGGCTCTCACCCAGCCACCCCTCCTGGAGCAGCGTCTGGGGGAGGCAGAGCAGATGTGAGACAGGCAGGGCAGGGGCTTTGCCCTCCTGTTTAAAAGCAACCGGGGATACAGGGGACAGGCAGAGAGGGTGCAGGGCCCTTACTAGGTGTCAATGCCTACAGCAATACCAGCGAAGGGAGGCTGAAACTGGGGGAGCCAGGGAAGTCTGCCCACTGCCCTTCCCAGCCAGGGGTGCTGCACTGTCCTGTATCCCAGAGTTACAGAGCAGTGCGAGGTCCCGCACTGCTCCCTGCAGTGCCCTCGGCCGGGAGAGGTTAGGAGACTTGTCCTGCACAATCACAGAGTTACATTTTGGGCTCTGTTTTGTCCTCTGGCATTTCTCCCTCTCTCCCCAAAGCTGTACAGCCTCCTTCCCCAGCCAGCAGCACCATGGCACGGCCCCCCTGTGACCAGAGGCATGGATCAAGAGGAAAGAGTCATGCAGGGCACCTGCACTTCCTCCCCGGAGCAGCAGACCCAGCCTGCCCCGGGACAGAGCACTTGGTTTTGCTTGGAGCCTGCACGTAAACACACAGCAGCATTCGTGGATGGGGGTGGGGATGAGTCCCTCCGCATAGGATTTGAAGTCACAGATTGTGGCAGCATCTCTTTAAATCAGATGTGCCAACATCCAAGCAAGACTAGAGCCAAATTCCATCTCAGCTGTGGCCACAGCTGTCAGGTGAGGGAACCAGGGGCCAGGCCCCACTGCAGTCCATGCTACTGGGCATTAGCCTGACCCCTCCACTTTGAGCTTTTCCCAGGGAAAGGGATGGCAGGACCCTCTGGGCTAGGTCCTGCTGCCTGCATGGGGGATGCTCTGGGTCCTATGTGGGGGAGAAGTGCTCTCCTCAGAGGGCAGAAGACCCTGACTTGGATTCTGTAGAGCCAGCCAAGGACGCAGCCTCTTAGCAGGACAGAGTCTGACCAGGAGGACACGGGGCAGTGTGAGGAAGGGGCAGGACTCGGCCTGGATTCCCAGGGCCACATGGCAAGCATCTTGAGAGCAGCCCCACCTCCTGTGCTGGACCCCTGTGCATCTGCCTGCTACAGGCTCCAAGTCTACCCTGCAAAAGTAGCACTGGAGCTGCTAGCAAATCACATGCAAAGGGTACTGGGCAGGTGGCATCTCGCTCTGCCAATCTGCATAGGCAAGGGCAAGGGTGACTGTGACTGCCTTCTCCTTCCTCCCAGAAGGAAAGCCTCAGCCCCGAGTAGGGTCTTTCCCCAACTGGCCCATGCCACACCTGTGCCCAGCACACTGGACAGTGCCCAGAGCGGCAGGGCCTGTCTACCTTCCTGCAGCAGTTTGGGATTACCGGCCCCCTACGTTGCCCCTTCTTCCTCCTCCCGTCCCAGCTCAGTGACAGGCAGCCCCCAACACAGCTCCAGTCCTCCCCAGCCGCAGCCAGTGCCAAGCAACCCACCTCAATACTCACAGCAGTTTCCTTGGCCAAGACCCTGCAGAATCGTTAGGCCCAGGGAGCGAGGCTGTCACGCTGGTCCCAGTCTGTGAAGGCAGCAGTGCGAGAGCAGGCCAACAGGAGCAAGGGCTGGGGGGAGAATCGCCAGCCCCTCTCTGCCGGGCAGCAGACAAAAGGGGGACCTGGGGCTTGACTGGAAGAAAACAAAAGGCTTGCCGGCTGCCTGATCTGCAGGCTTTGTTGTTGCACTTACAGGAGCACAGCGGCCCGGATGGTTTCGCCCATGCTCAGTGCAGCTCCAGGCTGGAATCATGTGATCCTCTCGGCTAGAGGAGCAGTACAGGACCGCCGGGGGGGATGCAGCGCTGCACAAAGTTCACACACACGCGCGCGTGCACAGACACACACTCAGGCAGCCCTGGTGCACCAGCAGCCCATTCGCCACTCTGGGACCCAGAGGCCAAGTCTCCCTCCCCACCTGCCTGGCTCAGCAAGGCACAAAAATCCCAGTGCATGTGGGATATGAGCCTTCCTGGGTTTGGCACCAGATGAGATGCTGGAGAAGTCATGACACCTGCCCTGAGGTCCTTCCCACAGACTGCCCCCTGACTTGCCCTCAGGGACAGCCGGGTATAGGTCTGGGACCTCTCTATGCAGCCCAGGGAAAGACCCCTCTCTGTGGGACACATTATAACCATCTCCCTCACTTCTGCTCTTTTATATAGGGTCTCCCAGATGTCCTTTCCCTTTATACCATCCCCCAAACAGCTGCTTGCATTGCTACAGTCAGGAGAGGCTCTGACACTGTGGGCTTTGAGGGAGATGAAAACCAAGAGCACCTTTGTTTCTTCAGCTTGACCTACTGCAAGGTCCCCAGTTGGCTGTTTCAGGAGGTGACTTGGAAAGTGAGCCAGCCTGTTTCTTTGCTGGGAGGAATGTCCTGTTTGCTTTGCAGATAAGGCTGCTCAGGTTCAATCCAAACTGCTGGGTTTCATTGTAGCAGAGAACAAATGCAGCCTCCCCCTGAGATTTCGCTCAAGGAGATTTAGGCAGACATTGGGGATCTGCAGCCTACAAGGCTGTGGGATGGGATCATACCACTCGCAGGTATTGCCAGTCCCAAAGAAAGGGGAAGGTGGGTCATTTTGGGGGACCAAGAGTTAACTAGAGACCTTGGCACTATTTTCTCCCCAGGGAACACCTTGAACACGGAGGACCAGCAGCCTCCTAGGTTACAACCCTGTCTCCAACCGTCCTTCTTTGGGAAAGGCTGCATCAGCACCACTCTCCCCCCATCCTCACTCCCCTCCCTGACTCCTGCTCTCTCCTGCCCACGTTCGCAGGGAGACAGTGCTGGTCTGACTGGTCAATGAATTTTCCCCACGTCAGATAGGGCCTGGGTCGGTAGCCAGGATGTGTTGCTGTCCTATTTGCAGACCCTGGATGCACCCTCACATGGGACTTCTTGCCCCTCCACAGATCACAGAGGATTAATAGGTTTGGCCAGTGGCTCATCTCTGCCTGGGCCCTCTCCTAGATAACAGGGAGGGCGCTCCTCAGGCCTTGCGAGGCTGAGGGGAAGGTGGCTCAGGCAGCTCTCATGGATGACCCACAGCTCCACCTTCCATTTTCATCAGACACGGCCAGTGTGGCTTTCCTAGTGCCCAGCTGTAGCTTAGCTCCAACAGGATAGAGGCAATGCTGGTGGTGTGGCCTGGAGAGCATATAGCAGCACTGACATCTCTCCGTCTGCCCAGCCTTTCTGAGCTTCGCGGCCAGGAGAGCTCTCAGGCTGTCAGGTCACAGGACAAGCTCAGGGCACATTTATCCTTCTGAGCCAGGCAAAGTGGCTGTGACTTCTGCACAGCCCCCCCTCCCCCCCGAGTGCTGGCACTGGGAGCCTGGATGAGTCTAATGTACCCTGACTGCAGCTCCCTTCGGAGACCCTGCAGCAGTATCACCTGATGGCAACCCTGGAGGTTGTCCTACCTACTGGTTTATTTCTGGCTGCATCCATTTTCTCTCTTGCATTGCTTTGAGGTTTGGGTCTTTGAGGCTGCTGCTCTCCTTATGCATCATCCACACAGTGGGGAAACTGTGCCCAGCTGTGGCATGGCCTCCTGAGGCATGGACATCTTCTCGGGCATTCTCTCCGCCTGTTTGTTTGACAAGACCTATTTCTCTGCAGTGTTTATCTGCCCCCAGCCCCTTAGGTCTAAGCTCCTCATACTCTGTAAGACAAGGATCATTGGGTAAATTTGATAGCTTCTCTTAGACCGACTTAAATAGTTGGAAAACTTCTTCTTTGCAAGCTTTCAGATATAAATACCCTTCGTCAGGCTGAGGACATATCTGCAGCTGCTGTGCGCTCTTCCTGGATGGAATAAATTTCCAACTATTTGAGTTGATCTAATAAAAGATACCAGATTTACCCAAAGAGCCTGTCTGCCTGTGTCCTGAGACCAACACGGCTACAACCTACACCCTGTAATGCATTTCTCCTCACACCACCAAGAGGCAGCAGGACAGGAACTATTGTCCACCAGACAGATGGGAACAGAGGGGCTCGCTGACTTGCCCCAAGTCACCCAGAGAGATGGTGGCAGCACTGGGACTGGAACCCGGGTGTCCCCAGGCCCAAGTGAATGCCTTGACCCCCAAACAACCAAAAAAATCAGACACAGGGAGTGTGAAGCTGGGATACCAAAAACAGGGGCATCCAAAATTAGCTGCTGCTCTTGACACTAGCACTTCCTGCCTTTTGTCTGAGCTGGGGGGAGGTGCTGAGTGCTGCCTTCCCTACACTGCACAGGGGGTCTGGGCTTGCAGACCTGACCAGTTGCCATCTGATCAGGAAGTCTGAGGAATGCTGTGCTCCCCCACCCCAGGGGCCAGCATCCAAACAGCTGCCTAAGAAATCCCTCTCTTCCTGGCTCTAGAAACAGCCCTGCTGGGCAGGCTCTTTGTCTCATAGAATTTCCCTCACAAATGTAGCCCCTTTCCATGATTAACAAATGAATTGCAAAGCCACCAGCAACAATGAAGGCCCAGCCAGGCATTTCCCTGGGCCCACACAGGGTAATCATAACTGGCTGCAGGCCCTTTAAATGCTGCCTGCTTGATAGTACCTGGCAGTACCTTCTAGCTGAAGGACACAAAGCAGGCTGCACACATGAATGAATTTGTCCCAGCTTGGTAAGCCAGATCACTCTAATATAACAAAGCAGAGGGGGAAACCGAGGCACAGACAGGTTAAGTAGTCAGGTTTGCAAAAGCAGCCACAGATTCCCAGTGCCTTTAGTTGTTAGCTGCCCAATGACTTGTGCATCTAATGGAGGGACCCAAAATCAGAAGCCCTTATTGAAAACACATCTGATTGCAGACCCTGTACCATCCCTGCAGAGGGAAGCAGCAGTCTGATGCTTTGTCCTTTTGCAAAGTGACTGCAGTGCAAGAGGGGTATAGGTTGTAGCCATGTTGGTGTGGTGTGGTGTGGTGTGGTGTGGTGAGAGAGTGCACTGGAGCTGATGGCGCTGCTCTGACCAGGCATTTTGGTGTGTTGAGACCTGCCCTGGCATACAGGCGAGTCTCAGATGGCAGAGCCAGCAACCCCACAGGCACCTGGTGACTGCAGTGGATGATTCATTCAGACCTGCTCCAGCCTAGCAATGACTGGCATTCAAGGGCTTGTAACCCTGCCTCATCCCCCACGCACCCAGCAGGTGGGCTGCTCAGTCGTGACAAGAACTGGATGGCTGGATGCCTGGCAGAGGGGAGGGGGGACCAGGCTTGAGAAGAGGCTTCTCAAGTTTCTTTCTTGAGGAGAGTCTCCCAAGCCCTTACAAAGCCAGCAAGTCCAGGGGCCGGGGCTGCAAGGAGGGGGCCTGAGAGAAGCAGGAGAGGAAACAACCGGAACGGGAAGGTGCAGAAGGAGGTGATTCGTTTTCTGTATCGGGTTGGCATCTACTTGGTGGAGGGCTGAGAAAGGTGGATGGAGCCAAGAAGGAAAGGCTCACCCCCCTTCAGGGAAGGAGAGGCCACAGGATCCAGATAACTGCTTGAGTAGGGGTTGACAGCCCCAGGGACTGGAGCATTTCTGTCCACATAGGAGGGACAGCTCCCTGCCACCTTTCCCAGGCACAGAGGGACCATATCCAGGGAAGTGCAGCCTCCCTGGTCAGTCAGTTCCTGCCCTAGCTGCTGATGAAGTGTCCTCTGGGAACTTCTCTGAGTCCCAACAAGCTCATTTCACATAAGCAGTGGCCTACCACCAGATGGGAACAACCTTCTGTTTCTACCCAGTGGGGCTGCATCCAAAAGTGGAAGATGAATTAATGTCTCCTGTGCTGGATGCCACTGCAGGAGTAGGTAACAGCAGCAGAAATACAGAATGGGGTCAGAAACCTCCTGTGTCAAAGGTAATCTCCTGGAGGCCTTGCGCTGTCTTGCAGGCATTTTACTTCGGTGTGTGGTGGCCACAGCACTCCTGTGAATCCCCCCATTCACCAGCCTCTTCTCTTTCAAGAACCCATGTGTCCCCTTTGTCAGCACTTCCAGGACCTAGCACGCACAGTGGGTTTGCACTGCTGCAGCTGGGGTTTGGCCTTTTTTCCATGTTTGCCTTGGCTCCTACCTACCATGGCACCTTGACTCATAAGCAGTGAGGAGGTGGATGAGCCTCACATGGACTTCTTAGAAGGGGCCTGAGTACACAGTTCTGCTATGGAGGTGATGGGTATCAGCAGTAGAAAGGTGGTGTGAATGATAGCAGGGACACAGTGGTTATATTTTGTCCTCAGCTGCCCACAGTGTCCCTGTCCATCACAATACACCAGCCTCACTTGGGGTCTCTAGAATATGGGGGAGGGGCGTGAAAACTCCAGTTTCTCAGCTGGGTATGTGGGACTGGCAGACTTGGGTATGCTCTGGGGAAAACACAAGTTTCACCTCCATGACTTGCTGTCTCTGGGGGACTGCCCAGGGTAGTGCAAAGGATGGACCACAAATATCTGGCCTGCTCAGCGGAGGCTCTGGGAAGTCAAGATGTTGCAAGTGTTGCCCTGTTTTTGCTTTGTCAGTGTCCTGGTTTGCACAAACACAAGCCCTGGCAATGACTATCGCAGTCCTGGTGCTGGCTGCCTCTCCACAGACAAGAGAACAATAGCAAGGGGCAGGTCTCCCAGACCCCTCTCTCTCCTGGGGATGAGCTGCATCCAACGAGCCAGAGCCACTGCAGAGAGCTCAGCAATGAATGGAATGAAATATGTAACCAAGGTCTTGGCCTTTCATGGTCCCTGACAAGTCTGGCCC